TTTCTTCGCATGTGTAACCTGGCCTCTTTAACTTTGACTCTTGGAGAATTTGATTTGTTAAGCCGATAAGGAATTAAAGAACTTTGATGTACGCCATGTGCTGAGGTCTGACTGCTTTCAAGATCATTTGGAGATCAAATCTTACGGGCCAATTAAACTTAAAGACAGAAATAAAATGACGCTTATTGCCATTGGTCGCTTCTTCCGTACAGTCATTATTATTGCGCGGTGATCAGCTCCGATGAAAAAACCTGTAAGGAACGCTGAAACGATTGGTCTAATTTAGACATGTTTATAGATACAGTAACCCGTCGAAGAAGACGAGACATGAGACTGTTTTAGCTCCTTGAGTTCCCAGTACTAGCATTGTAACTAGACTAGCTTAGCCCATGGTCTTATGCTTGCCAAGTGCACGCAAATAGAAAGGGCGGCGTGTTTATCCATCTAATCGGAGCCAAATGCCTAGGATTCCACTCATCATTTTCTCGTTTAGGAGTTTGGCGAGTCAACGTATCTTCTCTAGCTTTGAATTTAGCATTGAAATTCTTTCCGTAAAATGACAACACACCTATTTGAAGCTTGGAATAGAGAAAAATTGCTGGAGCTAGTGTGAACCCAGCTAGTCTTGAAGCGTGATTTATCATCATGATCGAGTTTTCCCTCATAAGTAAGTTCTTGCTGTTCATAAACAAGTATGGCACCTCCAATGTTTTTCTTGAAAAACTAAATTCCTTATAGATGGACAATCGATAAGTAAGTAGTGACGATATCTCTGAAAGGGTCACATTTCAGTGGAATGTCTATCACTTAGAACTGAACAAGTGAGTCAGGACCTGTCTGATGTGAGAGCTCGATTTTGCAGTAAACTTGGTATTAGGTGTTCAGTCCAACTGACTCCTCTCTTTATCAGACTAAATGCAACGACATTTGACTGCCATATGGATAATGCTGAGAATTTGTTTTCCTTCTAAATATGAGGCAAAACTCTGTTTTCAATTTAATTGGAAAGATAACACGTGATCTATTTACCGTAACCAACTCCTTTCATAACAGCAGTAATAGGGATCAAAAAGCATTTAACACAGCACAACGGCAATTATTTCTCACTTGTTACTAAAGTAGATGAAAATCATCAGTTTTCTGTTTGTCTGGCTCTGTTTTCCTGTCCTGCAAAGACAACCACGTTATATTGAAATCCAACTAAGAAATAGTTATTCTGCCCAGAGGGCGTGCTTTATTCTAACTTTTATTCTGGGAATAAAACTCCTTTGTGTAACCATTTGGTTAAACATGACGTAAAGAACTGCCGACTTAAATTAGTAGGCACAGAACCTGTGTTTCGCTTCATGACTTCAAAGTAATTTGCTAGCTCGGTTGTTGAGAAGAATCATACCTACAACATGATCAGGTCAAACTTTTCAAGCGCTAGAAACTATTTTGTTTGCTTACACTGTATACGACGTGGAAAGTTCTGGCCAGGCCACCGCTGAAAAAGAACCATGCACTTCATACCTGAATAATTCCTCGCCACAACTCTGAGTTTTCCTTATCTTAAGGGCATTTATGGAAACCGTGCGGTTATCTACTGCATCTTAATATCTCTATCAACGTCAATTAAAGTAACTGCCTTGAAGGACTGAATCGTGTAGCAATACGTATTTCTTGATTAGCTGAAAAGAGTTATCATGTACAAACTATTGTATGCAGTACTTTTGCCATCTGATTGATTTTGTTTTTCCTTTTGTGTTGGGCTTAATAACGACAAATGAATAAATATTTTCTTTTCAGTAGCCCTCAAAGCTTTTTCTCCTAACCTTTGGTTTTACAATGGCTCCCTGCTCCAATCACGCATATTATTTGCCTTCAGGCAATGCTATGAGACCGTGGGATGTTGATATTTTTCATTAGGTCGAAAAGAATATTTATTAACGCCCTCAAAATAACCCTAATTACATTCTATTCAAATCATTACCGACTTACAAGACTCATTTTTTTTCCCACGTCATTTTGTCAGCTCGCTTTTTTAATCTTACGTTTGCATTTTGATAGTAAACCCTAAAATATTCTCGAGAAAGGTCTCTATATCATCCCTTAGGTGATATCCATAAGTAATGAAAAGTTTAGAATATTGCAACCACTTCCTTACAGAGATCGTTTTCTACAAGCTCGTGACTTGTTAAGTAGACACCACCAAGCTTAACAGGAGATGTAAACACGAGCTTACAACGAAAGACCACCAAGTAAAACTGAGCCCTTGTTTAAAGGAAAAGCTTCCAGAAGAAACGAAATTGTCATAAGTGTGTTGACATAACCTGTCAACCGGAAATGAAGTCTGAACCCTCCAAAAAAGTCACATCCTTTATCACTTAGTTCTTGGAGATACAGCCAAATTGTGAGCCGAGATGATATAAAAATTCTCACGGCTTGATTTAGTTTGAAAGTCGCCTCACACACACACACACAAATGGTGATTTTTATTGCAGCTTTGATGAGACAATGGTGATTTCAAAAAATGTTTACCTTCAGCTCATTAAGGCTCGTTTGTGAAAATTGACGGCAGCTGTTGTGTATGACGTTAATTGAGTAAAAACTGAGAAAGCATTACTTTCCTTTCTTCTTAACTTCGCGATTCTCTTGTCCCAATTCAACAAGTCTTACATTTTATTAGAATTGTGAACTTCTTTGTCCTCGTTGTGATTAAGATCATGCACTCAAGAGCGAAACACTGTAAGATACGTGTCAAGAGTCAAAGCAACCATCAGCACATATCTCAGCGAAATGTATGCAAAACTCTGCGCATGAGAATTTTTACAACAGCACATCGAGAATACATCAGTGCCTACACGAAATTCTAAAACAAATGTAGCGCTGCCGTTCGCAACTTCAACTTCAGTACAGTTTAAAGCATTTCGTAAACAGTTACTCAGGTATACGACATTTGGAGTTTATCGATAGATCTGATTAACAACAAACCATTCTGGGAACTAATAACTGACATAAGAAAATTGACTTTTGAATCTTTTTGTTTCGTATTGTCAACGTAAGGTTAAAAGTTCGACGTGTAAACCGTGAAGAAAATACACCACGTTACGCATTAGTATGTTGGCGCTTAAAGTTCAATGAACAAAAAATTTGTCACGTTGTGACGAATGAAGACAAATTTTGATTGACTCTTACCTGCAGAGCTAACATAAACTTGATATACAAAGTTACAACAACGATGGAAACGCTCTGGCGACACCAAGATCTTAATTGCCAAGCTTGTTAAAGAAGAGCGAGACTTTTTCCCTGTCTCGATGACACCGCTTCGATTTACGTTGCGCAAACGCAGCCGAAGCGTAACGAATGGAGTGTGAGAAATTAATTCGAGCGTGAAACGTCAAAGAAACAATGCATGCAAGGGATACTCAGTGTTTTTACAGCTCTTTGAAGAACACAAATATTTATGGTTTTTGAAATACGCAGGATTAATCTGATACTGCATAAAAAAAGAAAAATAATTCTTTTATGACTGCTTCTTATAATAATTTCCTTATGGTGAAACCATTTGAAAGATTGTGAACTACTTGGAAATGGAAAAGTTACTTAGTCCAGCGAATGTTGGTTCATTCCTATTTTAACATTTCACGCTAATATCAAATCTTCCAACTTTTAAGGAAAGTTTAGCTCGCATCTTAAAAAGATATAACAATATTAACAGTAATAATAATAATAATAATAATAATAATAATAATAATAGTAATAATAATGATACAGTAAAGAATAGTGAGAGGGTTGGTTACCAGCGACATCCCTATATCCAAAGGAATTTTTAGCGTTAAGAATAACCACCTTCAGCTTATTGTAAACTCGATAATGAAGTTCGGTAAGGCAGAAAAGGTGGACATAGGTATAACTCCAAAAACAAGAGAAAAAGTACTCATAGTGTATTACCTATAACCAAAGAGCAACAAGTAAAGATAGAAATGAAGAGGATCCAAAAAAAAATGGCACTTTGTAGCTAAATTGAAAAATCAAGGGCTACCCAATACTCAAACTTGTTCTTGGAGTCTTTCTTCCAATTGCAGGAAGAAGGGAGGCCCTGCGATCGAGGTCGCCTAAAAACTAATATAAGCGCTGGAACGTTGCTCGGCTGACACTGGGTACGGGGACTTTTTTGCCGCCAATGCACGTGATGAAAGCCCATAGGAGAATTAGGAAGGGAAGCCACGGGTTCCGGGTCGCCCAAAATCTTACGATATACGCTGCAACGTAGCTCTGCTGAGAATAAGTGCAAAGGCTTTTTGCCGCCAATGCGCGTGATGAAAGCCCACAAGAAGAATAAGAAGGAAAGCGCTGGGTTCCACGTCGCCCAAAATCTTAAGATTTACACTGCATTGTAGCTCTGCTGAGACTGAGTACGAGGACTTTTTGCCGTCAATGCGCGTGATGAAAGCACACGAGAAGAATTAAAAAGGGAAGCGTGGGCTCCACGTCGCCCAAAAATTTTAAGATTTACTCTGCAAAGTAGCTCTGCTGAGACTGAGTACAAAGCTTTTTTGCCGCCAAAGCGCGTGATGAAAGCCCACAGCATTACATCAGAGGACAAATATCCAAAGTGTTTGTATCGCAAACTTCATTCGGCAAAATATACGCCATAAACGAACGCCGCACAATTTACTCTAAAATCTAATATAACTCAAGGTAAAGGTCGATACAAGAGATACAAATGTCTAATTTTGCGCTCGTCAAGATTTAAAAATGATCCAGAACCAATTCAACAAAATGGAAAAATAATTAATTCATCGATAGCTATTGTCCTATTTTTAATAACTGAAAATGTTTTAATTCAATGCCCCGTACACAGAGCACAGCATGAGAACTTTTCCGCCGATTGTGTGTAAAATTCAACATCATTAATTGCTAGCGTGTCGTTTTTTTTCTTTCCAAGCTGAGCTAAAAAATTGGTCCACAATTTGTAAACAGGTAGTTACTAAAACGTCTGGGGTTTCAAATACGTTTCCACTTGAAATATTAGAAAAAAAAAATAAAAGTTCCGGCAAACTCAATAACATGAACAAGTATGCATCAATACTACCCGACTAACGTTCCGACGACATTTCAAATCTATTCATTAGACGAGACAATATGCCTGGCGATCAGTCGAAATCAAGGTTATGGAAGGTGGTTGTCTTGTTTCATCGTTTTACGAGGTAGGAAACACTTGTGCAACGTAACTTAATTGTATGATAGAGTTTTGCCATTCTGGCACGAAAAAGATCGCATGGAACTCTTGCTTCTGAGCTCTTTCAATGCTCTTCAAGCAATAACAAGGGCTGTTATAGATCCTTACAAGTTTTGCGAAAATTACTGATGCTTATACAAGTGGAACGAAAACAGAGTTATAAATATAGTAAGAAATTATTAAGCAACGCGCCTTTCCTTTATTCAAACTTAGGACAAATGCGGTAGTTTTTCTAATCGTTACGATAAAAAAGCATTCCATTCAAAGCCCTGTACTTTACAAAGAAGTATTTTGTTCGATGTAGCCGCTATCAGATCTCTCAATTACGTTTTCGGTCTTTTCTTTGCTGATACATGACCTCAGGTCCTACAGAAAAATATTACACAATCAAATGTGTAGTTGTAAAACAAACGGATTTAGTTTGGCCCTAAAGGGTAACTGACAGTTCTTACTGCAATGCACGAACGTGCACTAGACTACAACACAGCAAAAAGGTTAAAATATGATTCCTTCCGTGAGAACAGTAGTTCTCTGAAGTCTACACTAAAAATTGTCTTTGCTCCAGTACAACAGAGCCACATAAATCGAAGTGAGGATTAAATTTGAGTTAAGAGAAGGTGGCTTGAGCCACCAGACTATTGAAATGGACTAAAATGTTTGCAGGATTGGGAGAGAGCTGTTTGTGAAACATCTGCATGATGCAAAAGATAACCCCATAGCGTCTGTAAGGACCAGAGAATAAGGGCGTTGGATTTGTAACCTTGAGATTATTGGTTCAACCTTTTTCTTCACCCAGCCTCAAGCCTACGTTTGTTTCGTAGCACTCCTTCATTTATGTCCCACGTTTTGCCTTGCAACTGATTTGTCCAACAACTGTTGGAATTTGCAAAATTCCTAAGAGGTGTTTATTAACATCGACACTTAAATAGAGTTTTATATTTCATTTAAAACCCGAGACTGCAAAACCATGCAGCTTTTGACATTCATTACAGGTATGGGTGACAAGGAAGCTTATCAGTACCTCATAATTGAAATTTTCACCTCAATTGGCTTCGTTTCTTAGTTCCGACTTCAATTCTTCCTGTACACTTTGTAACCAAATTACTGGTTTGCCTTCCACTAATGTGGATTTGTAAAAATGTTCTGAGTTAGCAAAGTGTTGCTTCAAAAACATCGGCCAACACTATAAAACCTATCACAGGTTTCACTTTCGATACGATGAGATCGAGAAGGCACTTCATCAACGATACACAATCACATTTCTTATTTTCCAAAGGTTCTGAGCCTTTATTTTGAAAAAGCCTTGGTCTCTAGATCACTTTGTAAGTTTGCTACCAGCTGAAGCACCTTATTTTCATTGAAGCTAATCCTTGTTCTGCAGTCATTGCTTTGTTGAACACCATTTAAAATTGTTTTCTCCAGAGAATTGCTTGTGTAAAATTCAATTGTGAGGTTTCTGTCGGCCATTTCATGCATTCAATTAAACCTTGGTTTTCTAACATATATTGCTGGTGTGAATAGGGCACTAAACTTAAAGAAGCTATACAAACATTGTCTGCAAACTGAAAGTCAAACTAAAATATAAAGTCATTTTTTTCAATTTATAATGTTGCTCAAGTTTATTTTGCTCTAGGTAGTTGGTGTTTGCTAAGTAAGCATTCTTATCCACTAAGTTGTTTTAACTCCTGAAATGCTGTTATGGCTGACATAGGGCATCTGGTGCACACCCGAAAAACTACTAGAAGTGCTCAACATTCGTTGTTTTGTTTCCCGACCAATTGAAAAAAAAATAGAACACAAACAAATGTCGGTAAAATGGAAAGGATGTTTTCCAAGGCGGATATAAGGAAGTAGTTAATCCAGTCGTGTCTGGTTAGAGTTATATCGAAGTTACCCCGTGCAAGCGTGGGAAACTTAGAGCATGTGAGAAAAATTGGCCATGTGCCATCGTGCAGCTGATTTTACGACAGGATGGCTAAACTTTCAAGAAAAAAACGTGGACCTGAAGGAGCCAGGAATGAACTCAGGCATTAATTTCCTTTTGTAAGCTTGGACTCATAATTGAGGACTTTGATATCCTTTTTTCATATCTCAGTATTCCATATCTTGCAAGTAGTTTATCAAACTAAATTTACTCACCTTGTTGGTTATTTTTAGATATATTCAATTAATTAATTAATCTTTATTTTCAATATCTAGTTATATCATTTATTTGGGACAGTTGAGGCTAATATTATCGTGGGGCTGAGATTCGATCAAAAACATGTTTTTAAGCCAGTTCCTGGTTTCTCATTAGAAATGTTTACGTTCTGTGATATTGCTGAATTTATCTATATCTTGCCAATTTAGATTGACATATTTTGTTTTGCGTTCAGACGCAGAAGACCAAATAGTGACTTAATACTAAGTTCACAAAACGCCTCGCACAGCAGACCCTAGAGGTCAAATTACATTGCTCTCCTAGAGAACAAGGCAGTACGTCATATATACACAATAATGTTTACATGGTCCCGCGTTTTCAGCTGGAACAACAAATTCACTCTTTTCACTTTTTTGAGGTATTATTTGGGTCAACATTATACTTCATCAAAAAAAAAAAAAAGAAAAAACAATGTCCGCCATGACACAAATGAGAGCGCATAGGCGGATAACTCCACCTAAACTTCCAATCAGCGCGCGGAAACAGAGTCGAACCTAGGGCCGCTCTTTCAATGACGTACTATGATAAAGGGTGTGGCACACAAGGCAAGAGGCCTCTGCGAAAAAGTATTGTGTGTATTGATCATCCAACACAAGTTGTTTAAACGTTTCCTCACAGCAGCCATGCACACGAAATTCGAACCAGTTTGAAGCACTCAAACATGTTTCTGAGACAAAGATTTTGGCTAAATTCACCACCAACGACGAAATTTGCCCGCACCGCGTAGCACCGATTCGTCATCCGCACCGAACTCTTTTTATACCCAACATTCATCATTACTATTAGCCTCTTGAAAATGAAACTGAGACGCGCATTTTAGCTCGGTATGCCATAGTTGAATAATGGAAAATGTCTGACTTAAAAGAATTTCGTCACCTCCGACCAAACGCCCGATTG